TATATATCTCATTCGAATTTCTGTATTCTCTCAATCCGCTCTACTGGGGAAAAAAAAATAAAATGTTAGAAATTAAATTTTCTTGTATCTCTACACATCATGCAACCTACATTTTCAAGGAAACAAGTGTCCTTTTTGCATTTCAAGTTCATTCACTTAGGGAACATTGAGGTAAATCAGATAGCTTCCTGTGCAACTGGGATGAGGAAGCAGGAGCACAACACTCCCTGTGAGCAGACAGGTCAAAGGGAGATGGCAAATGTATCATAGCTGTAGACAGCAGTCCTAACCTTGACACAGGCCAAGCACAGAGATCAGATTTCCACACAGTAAGAATGATGGACGGAACGCAAATTTTTTGTGAGAAAGAAGAGATGAGAATAAAAGTTACAGAGGATGACAATCTTCTGTTGAGTCCTTCTACCAGTTCATGTCTCAGAGTTTTGTTCTCACAATGGTATGTGTCCCATTGGTCCTTCTCTAATTTCTACCCTATCCTCCACCTCCCAGTTTCACATTGCCCCAACATTGATTGAGAGTCTATTTACTCAGACCTTATTTGGTCATTAATCACCTCAAGTGGACCAGCATTATACCAGGTGCTCACAGATACATCACCTTCATCACACACAGTTGACAGATGCGACACCACAAAGAGGCTAAGTAGCTTACTGAATCTGTATCTTCTTGCTTTCTCTCCCTACCTACTGTGGTTCTCAGCCATTTCAGTGATTTTATCATTACTGCTCAGGCACCAGCAGGCCATTAACCTTTTAGTATTCTCCAGCCCTGAGACATAAGATGGGTTCAAAAGGACAGGAAAGTAAAATTTACATTAGTCATCCGGATGAAACCACTGCCAGTGTGTAACTATCGAACATGGCTGGGGAAAGGTTCAAGGTATATGAATTACCCAAATCACCCCCAGATTTCCTCCAATGATAAAAATGATCTCTAAAAATTATTATAAAATTTTATAATCCTATTTTAACTGGTACTTTTGCATTTATCTATATTTTAAGACTACTGTCTCTTTGAAGCTACTGTTGTATCCATTTATTTAACAAACATTTGAGTCACTTAGTTTATCATCTATTAGTATGTGTGACCATAATTATATTACCTGCGGGAGCAGATGGAAGAGCTCCTGCTTGCCATTTCTTTATTTTATCAATATGTTCTAAGAGTCTAAGAGTTCTAAGGTAACATTTTCTAAGAATTGTGCCATTACCTTTTCCACAAAATGGGAAGTAAATTCTTCAAAGCAGGATTTGGCTTCCTGTTAGGATTAAAAGGCATATTTGCATGACTTAAGTGAAATGATAAAAAATTATGAATTTCTGCATAATAATTTGAAGTTAAAGTGAATTTAGTTTTCCCTCCACTTTGCAGAATCAACACAAGCAGCACAGTCACGAGTCACAGAGCACCAGTGATTTTGTTAAGCTTGCTTCCTTACTGGATAACTCATTCGATATTTCCCTTCCTAACTTATTCCTCAGGCGGCAAAAGCAAACTGTTCTAAAATATAACTAGTCCTTTGACTGAACAAAAAGATACCCCAAAGGCCATAACCCAAATTCACTTTTGAATTTCAGAAGCGCACTCCTTACTCTTCAGTTACAGCAAGTCTAGCATTTACCTTCAGAAAAGCTTCCCTCAAGACACTTGCAGGTGAATGAACCTTTTTCTCTAGGACAGAATTCACTTTGTTTGAAAGATCTCCATGTGTAGGATGCAGAACATGGGAGACTTGACAGGGTGGGGAAAGGGGATAGAATGGAGGGGGGGACACTGAGACAGTGGCAGAGTCAGGTAGTCACTCAGGGGAACAGTGTCCATCTAAAATGTGTCAGGCATGAAACCCTATCAGCAATAGTATTAAAAGTCACAGGGTCTTAAAAAACAAAAGTGCCTAATATAGAGACAGGCGATGGGCAGGGAGGGAAATTAGAGATACAGGTGATAGGATTGTTGTGGGAACATTGTACATCTAAAACTCAATCACAAATAACTTTGTAAATCACGATGCCTTAAAAATTATCTATAGAATAGTGTGGACCTGCTAAGGAGACAAGCTTGGGAGGTGGGTGAGAAACTGGGGACAATGATGGAGGGAAAGTCACACTGGTGGTGAGATTGGAATTGCAATAGTGAATGGCATTTAAAAACTGTATTATTAACAACTTTGTAAACCATGGTGTTTAAATAAAATAAAAAATATAGTTTTTAAAAGAAAGAAAAGAATTTGTGCACCCTTATGGTTCCTAGCAGGGACCCCTCTTCCATTTGTGCAGAATGGAGCCCAATGGGGCATCCAACAGAATCCCAAGAGAGAACCTGGAGAGTGAATGACTTTCAGAAAAACGGATGCTCTTTTGACATTCCTACATATATACTCATGCCTTTATTAAGTCCTAATAGGATATTTAAAAACATCTTGTTGAATTTATAACCTATGTCAGTTCTAAGATTACCATTTGGCATCAGTTGCCTAAAAATATATTTATATTTAAATGAGAAGTGGTATTTGGGGAAAACTAAAATGGAAAAAGAGAAGCAAGAAGGCTTTTTTTTAAGATTTATGAAATTCCTTGGACATGAAAACTTTTCATAAACTAGCCTTTTATAGATTGAATGGGTTAGGAAAGAGATGGAGCAATTAGTTTCTATGAAACAAAGACTTGATCTCATGGGGGAAAACTTTTGACTAAAAGCAGCTGATACCTTGCCAAGTTCAATCTACTGAAAATATATTCATTAGCTATTCTGCAGAACCCCAACCTTACCCAATCCTCCCATCCATTAAAACTGACTCAAGATGAGACTTAAGATTCCCAAGTTAGAGGTCACCTGCTATGTAAAAAATGGAAGTTAATAACTCATCAATACTGTGTCTCTTCATGGCTAACATGATGTCATGGGCAATAACTTTGTTCCTAGATATAACTGTACCTGAATGTCAGTTAGGATTGTGTATGCCTCTGGCATCTTTCCCAATGCAAAGGGCTTGAGTGATGGGTGTTAACTGCATGTGGTAATTATCTTGCTATAAATACATGATATCAACTCATTACATTTTATTCCATAAAATTTTACCACATTATATGTTAATGACATATCAATAAACATTAAAGGAACTTCTTTCAAAGACAAGCAACCTTCTTAGAACTTTACCGCTGAGTGTGGCATTCACCCACAGTGCTTATGGTTACCGTCTACTTGATTAAGAAAGTCTGTTTATTCTTTGTTTGCTAAGAAAAAGCACACCAGAAAACTGTGGGGTGAGTCAAGAGAAATAACAAACAAATCATTGAAGTCCTGAAGAACTCCAATGCAAATACAAATGGAAACACTAGTTAAATTATAAGTAAGAATTTCCCAAAGTCAAGGAGTACAGGAACTCACTTCCAAGAGACCCAACGTTTCCCAGTAAAAATAAACCCAACAGAAAAAAAATACAATACATATTCTAATCAGAATGACATAGCCAAAATCAGAGACAGAAAACTGAAATCAACAAGATCAAAAATGAAAACGCCAATAAGACGCATAGCAAAACTATCAAATGAGATTGCAAACCAGAGGGAAATGGTGGGATATATTACAAAACTTCAGTGGAATCAACACTTCACCAAGTATTCATACAGCTAGATTTTTAGTCAGTCTGAAGGAAAGAGACAAAGCTTCATGAACACATATATTCAGTAGGAACTGTTAAGTAAAACTAGCATCCTGCATAGGAATGTATAACATGTTGTTTTTGTGCAGTGGCAGTGAGAGAGTATATGTGAGCAAAACTGTAGCTGCATGTGTGTGTATTTGTACGCATAATTTTTGCCACAAAATTAAACAAAATCTTGTGTTTTTTGAAAATAACAACCAGAAAACAAAACACCTCTTTCATATGTGGGATATAAAGAAGCGTAATAAGGGAACAATAAATGGCCAACATCATCAGCACTGGAGATTTTGTCTATTAGAACTGAGCTTCTATGGAGGGAGTAGCCGGAGGGTCCCTGGGACACTGGTGGGGGGCAGTAAGCACTGGTGGTGGGGGTGGTGTTGGAATGACTCTGCATCAAAAGTATAATTAATAGTATTATAAGTCTTGGTAGGTAGCTCAATAAAAATGGTAAATTAATTAATTGATAAAATGATTGATGTTATTGCTTTCCCGGTTTCTAGTTTCAACTATTTATTAAAATACTGCAACAAAGTTCCTAGATTATTTATTGTTCTAAATCCATAAAGTTAGGAAGCAGTCTGAATTATGAAGCCCAAGTTAAGATGTTGCCAGTGTGTGTTTTGAAAAAAAAAAAAGACAAATACTGGATCAAGCTTGATTGTTCTCAGTTTAATTAGCATGAAAACCTTCCAAATCACAATGCATTTGAAAAAAAAAGCCTGAATCAAAAAGGAATATTCCATTTGTACTTCAAAAGACATTTGATCTTTTAATCTTAATTTTACTGGGAGAAGTCAACGTTGGACTGGGCTTTCATCTTAGTCCATATAAGCTAATGAATAAAAGTCAATTATATGCTCATAGACAAGAATTCCTTATACCAGAGAAATTATATTTATTTTCTTTACTGAATAAATAATTGGAAATTTTGAGGTACCAAAAAATTCTAAGAAAAAATCTTAGAACAAAGGGTGGGATGGGGGGGATGAGGGGTGGGAGGGATACTGGGATCAGTGGTGGTGGAGAATGGGCACTGATGGAGGGATGGGTATTCGATCATTGTATAACTGAAACCCAAGCACAAAAAATTGTAAATCTACAACTGTACCTCATGGTGTTTCTCTAATAAAAATCTAAAAAAAAATAAAAGAAAGAAATTAGAACATTAAAAAAAAATACAAAAAAAAAAAAAACCTCTCAAAAAATGCCTAGGTCTGAAGCACAACTCAATGTTCATAGTCCTCTCATTCCATGTTTGTGATTTCTGCTCCCAAACTTTTTAGTGTTTGTGATCTGGTCTTTCTTTTTCTAGAATCTACACCAGGAACAACATGACTGAACATGAGAGATGGTTGAAGCTTCAGGGCCTGGCAACTTGAGTCGTTTGGCTGGGTGAGAATTCCTCAGGCTCAGTTCCAGCCTCGGATTCTATTTTCCCACCAGGGTCTTAGATTCTATCCTGCTCTCTCTTCACACTCCACCCTGGAGTGTCTGACATCTTACAGTAAAGGGCTCCTTTGAGCATTGTGTGAAACCTTCAGAATCTTCATCCCCCCAAAGAATTCACATAGAAATTGAATTTTTCACAAGAATTCTGAAGGTTTGGGACTCATGAAGCCCATATGTGTGTTCTCCTGCTAAACAGCTTCAGCGATATATATTTTCCCTGGATGAGCTCAGCTAGTGCCAAGACTTTCATCACCATCCAAGTCTGCACTGCCAGCCCAGGCACCTCTCTCAAGCACTACAACTCTAATCGCCAACAGCCCACATCTTAATTTAGAGATGCCATTCTCACTTCCAACTCCCTAATCTCCTCTTGTGTGCTCTGATCAGCAAGCAGGCTCAGCATGCATTCCACTGCCCAAAGCAGAAAGCTGGGAGTCAGCCCTCACCAGTCTTCTTCATTTCCCATCCCATTTCCTAATAACTTTTTCTGTCCCCACAAATCCACCCTCTTCTTCCCACCTCAACTTTCCTAACTTAGAACAGCTTTGCAACCTTCAGACTTACCACCTGCAAATCAGCCTGCAGCAAACACAGTGACATCTCCCCACCCTTCCCAACAAACCAACTGTACTGGAGCAGCATTTGTTTTACAATAAAGGTAAAAGTAACACTGTAGCACTTTCCTCCCATTGTTCATTGTTCATTGTTCACCAGTAAGATATCCATTATGAGACTTGTTGTTACTGTTTTTGGCATATCAATACCTCACAGGTAGCTTGCCAGGCTCTGCCATGAAGGCGGGATGCTCTTGGTAAGCTGTCAGGCTCTCCGAGAGGGATGGAGGAAAAGGTAAAAGTCCTAGAGTAAGATATTCTGGACATACTCTATAGTCACCAATAATTGGATTGTTTTAATTTACTCACTGTCTCTCTTCCATTCTACCATGTAAATAAATTACTATAAAAAGTAATCTTTTATTTTAAACTTTTAAAAAGGTACTCATTATCACTTGTGATGGAATGTGAAGGAAAAAAAGAATAATTCCACCTCCACTTTCTCTTGTAAAGTCTACATCTAAAATGCACAGAGACTTATATTTTTTTATATTTTGGTGTGATTTTATGTTTTGTTTTGTTTTGTTTTTTAGAAAGATAGAACATGATGAACCCATAGATTGATAGAGGATAGACAGACAGTTGGAGAATAAGTAGATGAATTAACAGTTTCTGTGTTATGTATAAGGTCTGTACATTGCAGGAATATCACTTAATCACTTAACTTCCCGTTAGTCATCGATTTGCTTGAGCAGGCACCAGTAACGTCTCCATTTGTCCCTGTCGCGTGCTAGTGTAGCCCAATGGCATCTGTTCGCTCCGGGAACATGAAGGGCCTCAAACCGATCGTTCATGATCTTGACGAAGAAGTCTGACCATCTGGTAGGTGGGCGGCCACGCGGTCTTTTGACATCCCGTGGAATCCAGTCGGTAACAGCTCTAGTCCAGCGGTCGTCTTTAAATCTCATTACGTGACCAGCCCATCTGATTTTCGACACCTTGGCAAATGAGACAGCGTCCCTGATACTTGATCGTCGACGGATGTCAGAACTCCGGATTCTTTCTCTCATTTGAGTGAAACGTGATATTCCAAGCATAGCTCTTTCTATTCTTCTTTGGGAGACCTGAATAGCGTTCTCATCTTGTTTGCGTAGGGCCCAGGTCTCTGAGGCATATGTTAATGCAGGAAGAACAGTGGAATCAAAGAGATGTGCCCGGAGCCGGAGGTTCTTCGTCCTCTTAGCTATTTCTTCGACGTTCTTGAAAGCGTTCCAAGCCGCTCTCTTCCTCCTGCGCAGCTCAGGTGCCAGGTCATTTGTCATGTTGCCCTCTCGACCTAGGTACACATAGCTGTTGCACTCGAAGATGGTCGTTCCATTGAGAGCGAATGGGGCGTCAGGAACGAGGCTGTTTCTCATAAACATTGTCTTCGTAAGATTCAGCTGTAGTCCTACCTTTCCATACTCATGGTCAAAGTCGGCCAGCATTTGTGCCGCTTGGATGATGTTTGGTGTTATTAAAACAATGTCATCAGCAAAGAGGAGGTGGTGTAGTTGCCGACCATCTATCTTCACTCCCATTCCTTCCCATTCCAGTCATTGCATGATGTTCTCGAGGGTGGCACTGAAGAGTTTCAGTGAAATGGTATCACCCTGCCGTACCCCTCTCTTGACATCAACGATCACTTCTTTGTAGAATGGTGAGATCCTGGTAGTGAATCCGCAATACAGCTCACGGAGGATCCTGATGTATTGGGCTTGAATGCCCTGATTGGCTAGGGCTTCAATGACTGCTTCCGTCTCAACAGAATCAAAGGCCTTCTTTAAATCAATGAACATTAGACAGAGCGGCGTCTTGAACTCCCGAGAAACCTCAATGAGCTTGGTTATCATGTGGATATGGTCGATGGTGCTGAATCCTTTGTGGAACCCAGCTTGCTCGCATGGTTGTCCTTCATCTAGTGTTCTGCCAATCCTATTCAGGATGACTCAAATGAACAACTTGTAGATGACAGACAATAGGCAGATCGGGCGATAGTTGCCAATGTCATGGATGTCTCCCTTCTTGAAAAGTAGTACGGTCCTGCTGGTTTTCCATTGGGACGGAACCTTGCATTCAGACAGGTAGCGAGTGAAGAGCCGAGCCAGTGTATTGATGAGTCTGATTGCAGGTTCTTCAGGTGTTCAGGTCTGACCTTGTCTGGGCCAGGTGCTGTTTGTTTCTTTACCGACGAAATGGCGTGTCTGATTTCGGAAGGGAGAACGTTGGGAATGACATATCCATCCTGTGGAATTTGGTATGTCAGCAAGTGGACATGGCTATCGAAGAGATTTGAGTAGAAGTCATGGATAATCTTCTCCATTGCCATTCTGGAGGATGTGATGGATCCATCAGGACGTCGGAGGGCAGTCATCTTGGTCTTGTAGTTGGCGAAGGACAGGCGGGCGTTACGAATACTTTTCCCGGCTTCTGCCGCATCTACCAGTACTTCTGCTCTTCTCTCTTTGAGGTCTTCCTTGATCGCATCTCTGCACTGCTTTGCGAGCTCAACGTTAGCTTGCGGTTGCCTGAGGCATGCGCCAAACCATGCTGGTGAATTAGCTCAAGAGTTTTCGAAGATAAGCGATTTTTTGTGGCTATCTCTCTCTTGGCGTTCCTCGCACATTCATGGAGGTGGTAAACCAGTTGATCGTATTCCTCGTCAATGTTGTCAACAATGGCATCTTCCCATGTTGCCGCAATAGTACCAAAGAGTTCCCAGTTGGTGGTCATTCTGGAAGTTCTCTTTTTGAACTTTGCAGCCCTTTCTCCCCGCTCTGTGAAGTAGAATTTTGCACGAAGGAGACGGTGGTCCGATCCCGTTCGAAATTTTGGGACAACAGCGACATCGGTCAGGCAAAACCATCGATTGAATATAATGTGGTCTATTTCGTTGTGGAATCGTCCACCGGGAGACTCCCATGTCCAGCGTTTAGATTCTGCCTTCTGGAACTGTGAGTTACCATGAATGGTCTTGGTCGACATGATGAACTCAGGTAGTCTCTCACCCTGTTCGTTCCATTCTAGGCCATGGGTCCCAATGTGAAGTTCTTCAGCTGATCTTCTCGGTCCTATCTTAGCATTAAAATCACCCACAATGATATGCAGGAACATATTTGTTAATTTTAGGTGAATCTGTTAAATCATTCAGTGTCATGGGATTAAGGCAGATTCCAGATCAGGACATTCAGCCTTTGGACATAGCCTTTGCTCTTCAAAGTGTGGTCTTCGGATCAGCAGCCCGATGTCACCTGGGAGCATCTACTTTATGAACATGAAATGTCAGCACAGCTTAGCCTAGAAAGTCATGCGATCCCGGGGAAACGAGAAAGCACATTAGACTCTGAGAAGTCCTGTCTTCAGAGCAACAGCCCACAACCAGCCATAGTCATTCCACCTAACACAGGTCAATGGAATCAGCTCGTAATGGTTTAGGGCAAGTGTCATAAAAAGATACCTAAATATCAAATTATGCCAGTCAAAGTAGTTTAGTGGGGACTCAATGTTTCAGTTTGTATGCAAAGTCAAAGCACATCATCTTCAAGGGCCTGGAGAAACAGCACAGGCACTTATCTTGCACATCAGATCCCTGGCACCACATATGCCCCCTTGGACACCATCAGGAGTGATCTCTGAGCACACAGCCAGGGATAAGCCCTGAGCACCACCGGGTATGGTCCAAAGCCAAAATAAACAACAGCAAAAATGTGTTCTCTGATAACTGTGTTTCGCTGTTCTTTAGATTTTTTTTTAAATCATCAGCACATTAAATGAAAACATTTCAGAAAAGTATCAGTATACTTTATCAATATATTTTCTAAGACATAACAGCAAGGAGTTTGCTGTTGTGAAAACCAGAAGTTTGTTTTTGATCATTCTTCAAAATCATAAAGAAACTGAAATGAGGATAAGAATATTTCACCTGGGGGGAGTAAGCTCTGAGTACCTCTGGATGTGGCCCCAAAACAAAAAGATGATTTCCTCAGAGACACAGTTCCAAGAGTTGTGCATGTGCTCTGCAGGGGGTTCCTCCACCCCCACCCCCAATGTTCCCAAGCCTCCCCATGTTCCTCCAAGTACAGCACACAGCTCCTGAATCTGCTCAGTCTCCAAAGCCCATTTGCAGGGTGGCCAGGGTAGGGGTGGGGAAGGGGAGTGGTCCAGGGCCTGGCTCCTTGCGGGGCAGGAGAGGGATCTCATGTACAACTGCCCTTCCTGCGCTCACCCAGCAGCCCACATGCTCCCAGGCACCCACAGTGTCCTCGGTCTTGACTCCACAGCCCTTCAGCCTGGGATCCGGCCCCTCTCCTCTGCTGGGGCCCCCGGGCACGGCGTCAGAGCCCTACCCTGTGTGGTGGTTTCCGGGAACAAGGCCTCCCTCTTGCTCTCTTTTGGTCCCTAACTTCTAAAACCGTCTCTTACAGCTGGGGAACTGGGGCTGTCTCTGGCTTAGTTTTATCAGTGCTCACAGCAGAAGCGAAGCTAAGAGAGGTCAAGCTCTGTGCAATTCTCATCCTCTAGTCCCACCCCAGGGACACCTGGTTGTTATTGCAACAGACATTGAATCCACTAATTCACAGTATTTCAT